TGCAACAGGATGAAATGATTAACTAACTGAGCTCTGTAATGTGAGCACAAGCAGGCAACTTTACATGCCTTTTCTTCCCTTTTACGAAAACTTTATTGTCCACAATGTGGAAATTTGTCTTTGGTTTCACTATAATACATGTCATAAAAACCTAAATAAAGACACACAACTCACAATACACTATACACAATATCAGTTACTGTGCAAAAAACTGAGAGCAAAGTCAGGAGCACCACTCTGTGTCCTAGTCTACCGGATCCCACTTTCATTTATTCCCTTGACAGTACTTGGGACAAATGATATTTCTAGCCATCGGCCATAGCCACACATTTAATATAATTTTTCAGGGTAAGTGCAGAGTTTATATTTTGAAGGTTGTCTATCTTTCATATTACTTTAAAATTCATTCAGACCTCTAAGTTATGGTCTTGAACATATATATATTTTAAAATGTTTAGTGGCTTGCGTGTATAATTCAATATTTGTGTTGGAAAAACGTGGGTAAAAATAACCTAAAATACCTTATGGCACTGGATAACCGTGTGTGTGTTTGTCAGTTCTCCCCATGTGGCAGGTGTGTCTCGCTTCAGGTTTGGTCCTTCAGACGACATGCCACAGACCAGCTCGTCTTCGCACTCTGACCTTGGACAGCTCGCATCACAAGGAGGTACTCCACCTCCACAATGTCATGTAGAGTTACAGCTTTTGTATAAACAGCATTAAACACATTAAACTTTTTTCTTGTCTTCAGGTCTTGGTATGTATGAAAGCCCCTTGTTCTTAGCAACTCACGAAGAGGAGTCTGGTGGACGCAGCGTTCCCACTACACCTTTACAAGTTTCAGCACCAGGTATCTGTCTCTGTCAGTCTGAGATCGGTTTTGTTTATCTATGCACCCACCCTTTTCATCAACATACTCAACATCTGAAAATGATTAGTGGAAATGTTTGGATTTGGGAGCATCAGAACATCATTAAATCTTTATCTTGTTTTTATGTTCTTCTCTTCCAGTAACTGTCTTCTCAGAGGTGCCACAGTCTGACACCACTGAGCACGCCTCTCAGTCGGTTCCCATGGTGAGCACGTCCACACCGGGCCTGGTTGTGCCAGGAGCAGCCAGCACAGGGGACGATAGAGACAACATCTTCCTGGAGCCAGACACTGATAGGTGAGGCTCACTCCTCTCGGCAGTTTGTTAGTGTATTCTCATGTGTCTATTTTTTTTGGCTGCTGTTTAAGTTAAGACCTCTGGCTCTCCAGTCAGCTGGCTTTCCTCTGCCCTTCAACTGCAGCAGTAAATTATTTATTGCCATGCACACTTCAAGCCTGATACAAAATGGGACCCTTTCCTTATTTGCTAAAAATCGGTTTCTCTCTCTGCTGTTAATAACGATAGAGTCTAGGGAGTGCAGCGGATCACAAAACTCACAGTTCAGATTGTATCACAGTTTACAGTCACGGATTGGTCTCACTCCACGTCCCACCCACAGCACTATCTGATTGGTTATACGTCACGAGTAACAGCCTTTCAACACTGACGCTGCTGTGCCGCAGGCAGAGACAGTGGCTGCTCCAGTGAGCAGAGCTGTTTGTCGAGGGAAAGGCTCCAGATGTTTCCAGAGTTACAATAAACATCACAATTTTATTATCTATTTCTACAACGACTAGCATGTCAAGTTTCCCACAGCACTGAGAAGTCACAGCCTACAAGGTTTTACTGAATTGAAGTGAAAGCTTCTAAAACAGTTGCTTTTCATTGTGATTCAGTGAGACAGCATGCATCTGCCTTGCTCTTTTCACTGTAACACTGTAATTTAGGGAATTATTACTTTACAAGTAACAGCAGCAGTGAAAGTCTAGGTTTGAATTTGGTCCACGGTTCACATGCATGTTGAATTGTGTTGGGCAGTCTGTACAGATCAGGGATCAACTGTGATCCATAGCACCATTAGCTGAACCAAATATAAAACTCTACTGAAAGTGAGCAGGTTTATAAAACCTTCATTCGTGCTTGTTTATTCCAGGTCCAGTGCAGAAGTGTCAATGGAACCAGTGGTCTCACAGGGGGATATAGAGGAGCAAAGTCAGCAATCTGACAAGGCCAGCCCCTCCACTAGCCAGGAGCCCTCCTCCAGCTCTGCAGGTACAGTGTAGCCACATGACTGTTCAGCTCCCTGCTGTAAATTACTATTTTTATCATTTAATCTCTCTCCTTGTGTATCCTAATTAGTGTTCAGTTCTGACTGCGGTGGTGTGTTTTTTTTCTAGATACAAGCAGTGCTCCACCTAAACCCTCTAGACCTGGAACCAGCAGACAATTGCAGCGCTGGCCAGAAAACCGTGGTGGCCGCATGAAGAGAGGTAACATATGAAAGTACTCACACAAATTGGGTAGTAATGCAGCTAATGTTGCTTATTAGTGTGAAACTGTTCAGGCTCTCGTTAGCTCTGTGCTCATTTAATCCATAGCTCATTTTCAGGCTAATACAACAATGTGGTTAAAATTCATGAAGAGCATTTAATTGTCTTCAAAGTCTATCTGGCTAATTGTGTATTTCCAACAAAAGTATTGCAAATGGATTTTAAGCATTTGTTTATGATAATTGAAAGCAGGAGTAACAAAATGATGCTCTAAAGTTCATGTATTGCAAGAGAATAATTATTTTTCTGCTATAATACAGAAACAAAATCAGTAAACCCGGTAGTATCACTCTGATTTATCTTTGAGAGTTTTGCAATTAAACAGCTGGCTTCCATACACACACTTTTGGAACAATATTGTCATTTATTGTAAGGCAAATATAAAATTGCAGATTTCCGGTTTGATGTTTCAGGCTTGTAAAAAAACAAAACACAACTTTGAATAATAAAATACAATATTAACAACAGTCATAATGTAAACTTAAATCCTGGCAAAGCATTTGTTTCATTGTAATTACCAGTCAATGCAGTTAATATGTTTGTGTATAATAATTCAGTTTAATGTTGAGAAGAATAACAGGAAATACTTTCATTCTTTTACATTTCATACACATTTTATACAGCCACTGTACATCATTTTTATCAGTATAGCAGGCTTTGTTTTAAAAAAACCTTTTTTATCTCAACAGGTCAAGGATTTCCTCCTCGGGGTGTCCATGGAAGACGATTCGCCAGATGAAGCACTAATGAGAAAACCTGACACCATTATCGGATAACTTTTCATTCCCGTCAGAAACACATTTCCCAATCAGCGAGTTGAGATTCTGTATTCAGACCCAATAATGTTGTTGTTCTGAAGCTTGTTGTTTTTGCTTTTATTTTTAATGTGCTTGTAAAGTACTTTTTTTAATGAGTCCATGCTGAAGCAGTGTGTTTTATGAAGAATGTAATAAACTATTAGAAAAACACGACTCTCTCTGATCAGACTTTCTTTGGGCATTTGAAGATGTTGTTGCTCTGAGGTGACGTGTTGGCTGGAGGAGCTGCAATGGCGGGACGTTCACCATCCACCCTCACATTGTAGGATTTGGCTGCAAAACACAGAATGGTTGATTAGTTAATTAAGCAATTTAATATATGCATGGTATTTAAGATGTACTTTTTATCCGTGTTCCTGCCAGTTTCCCTTTTAGTGGACATTGGCAGAATTTTATGCATCTTCAGGCAGGCCTGTCTTCAGCTTTTGGCTGTGGACATGAATTCTAAGAACAGTAGTGTGTCTTCAGTGACATAAATGACTAGACAGACTCCTGACGTGACACATCTACTTTAGGTTTTAAACTGAGTGAAATATTTTCCTCAGACAGAAACTACAGCATTCTTTAAACTATAGGTAACATCATCAAAATGGAAACTTTTACTGTGGTTTCTCCATAATAAACTTGAGCCGTAGGTGAATGGACACCACCCTTAATGACCTTTACATCTGCCTAGTCCCCCACCCCACCCTGACACACACACCCAGACACACATGGTCCTCGTTAGGCATTTCAGACATGATGTGAATGAGTAACAAATGTCTTATTGCGGACAGAAAAGTGAAGGAGCTTTTGTTCTTTTGAAGATATTATGAACAGAGGAATGAAGGAAGCGATATTTAAGGAGTTAGGAGTTTCATTCTTCTGGGATCTTGATTTCAAAACCTTTGTGCGAGAAGGAGTTTAAACTAAATCTGCTCCCAAACCAAGAAATAACTACAGCACTGGTATGGACTGCAGACTTACATCTTGAGAAGACGTAGTATTTGTATCCCTCTGGCTCTCTGTTGCTCGGGACGGACACAGCAGCAGTGACGGTGGTGGGGAAACCTCCCCAAGATGTCCGGATGTTGACAGTTGGCCCCAGAAAAGACACTGAAAAAAAACAGTTAAGTGTAAAATTAGTGTATTTCTTAGTTGTTTTTTCTCACATTTTTGTATTTTTTATTTTTTTTTATATATATATTTTTTGGTTAATCCTCACAACCTGTCAGCAGTTCCATTCCCATGACCAGAACACAGGTCAATTCATTTCCACTTTGCCAATTATTTACCAGATGGACCTTGCTGCCCCTCTCACCCCCACAAAAGCATGACTCACTTACAACTACATGTGTTGTAACTCAAATAAAAACATGTTTACGTGAGTTTAAGTTAAATCTGTTAAAATGCTCAGCAAACACCCAGTAGACTCATCACAGTTACATCAATACAGGACCACACAAATGAGAAAAATATAATGTTTTGGTTAGGATGAGTGGCACAAATCTGATTTTTCTACTCATATTTGACTCACATCTGTGGTTTTCTTTTCAATTCTGATTGGGGCCACTTTCATATTTGGTCCAAATCAGATTACAGGTCTGATGTTTTGCAATGTGACCTCAGTGTGAGCAGTCGTATCAAAATTGCTGTGACTTTTACGTCACTCTAGATCAACATTAATCATGCGAGTCACTTCAGGTTACACAAGTTAAAAATATTTCTGGTCCCGTATAGTTACCTGCTTGTCGAACAATTCGGTTGCGGACTGTGTAAACAGCATGCTGGACTTTCTTGCCACATGTTGGACTGGTGCCCGACTGGTATGAATATTTCTGGACCGATCCCCCTGGAAGAACCATGAGCATATGAGTATTTAATGAATAAAAATAAAAGTTTTACACTAAAAAGACATAAATACAATAACACCGAAGCAGTTCATCACCTCTCTTGAAGAAGTAAACCGACTCCCTCCTCCTCTGGTATTGAGGCACAGACAGAGCAGCTGTGATGTGGCCCCGAAGTCCATCAAAGCCTGTTTCAATGACCTTTGGGTATCCAGTGTCCAAAGCATCATTTTCAAATCTCCAGTATTGGGGTCCCTGCAAAGATCCCAAACCAAAATGTTAAATGCTCGGGCAACTATTTCCTGATTTAGTGCAAATGGTCACATCCATGAAATCCCTCAAATACCCTCATAAGTTCGTATTTGATACGTTTATTTACCTTGAAAATGTATGTTTTGCCCTGACAGTTGCAGCGGGTGAACACAGTGTCAATGGGGGAAGGGACGCCCCACACTTGTGTGATGCCACGAGCCGGACCAGGCACCCTGTTTGTACCCAGAAACCAGAAGTAGTGCCCTGAAAGAAAATGTTGTTACATAAGGTGGTCAATAACTATCAGAGTCATTTCAAAGTCTGTTCTAATTTTTGTATCAATTATATATTTTATTGTTATGTTTTCTATAAATTCTTTATTTCTAGGTCTGTACTTTTTAAGTAAAAGTACCAATAAAACAGTATAAAAATACTCCACCAACAAAATGGTGTTAAAGTACTTATTATTTTACTGTTGTAGCTAGTCCTGGTGCTGCTAGTTTTAACTTCTTTATTTACTGTTTGGTTCTTTAGTCCAGTGATTTCCAACCTAAGGGTCGGGCCCCCAGAAAAGGGCCACAAGATAACTGAGGGTTCAGATGAATAAAAAATACTGTATAATTCTATCTCTTCAAACAGTTAAACATAAATCACTGTGTAAAAATCACAATGTTTAAATGTAAATCACTCTTCACAGTACAATGTCTTATATTTTAAAAGCTCATCAAAGTTTTCTAATCCTAATTATATATATATAATAACTATAGTTGTCAGATAAATGTAGAGAAGTATAAAAAAATACAATATATCCCTTACAATATTGGATTTAATGTATAAAGTAACATAAAAAATGACTTAAGTTCTTGAGTAAATATACTCATATATACTAAAAATATACATTTTCCACCGTTGCTCTTTTATATTTTATTTAACTGGTTGGCTTAGCTCATGATACAATTGTAGGTCTGCTGACTGTGAACAAACTCAGCAGCAGCTGCCTGGTTGGCACTAACCTCTGAAAACCACAATTGTGCCGTTCCTCAGCGTAGTGACTCCGCTGACGGGCCGCCCACTACACAGATTTGTATCGTTGTTGTCATCTGGGAAAAAGGACATATTTGTGAGGAAACCATCTGTTTGGATAAACAAGCAATAATAGAAAAAACAAAAAACCTGCAATCACAGCCTGTGTTAAATGTAATGTTGTGCTCCAGGAGCTGTAAGGACTTTTCCTGCTTTGTGAACTTTTCTTTCCATTCTTTAAAGATTTATGTCCAATTTCAAAGGACTGTTTCATTTATATTGTGGGAAAGCAGCCACCTCTGTCACTTAATATAGTGTAGCTACGCTTTGAAGGAGGACTCTGTTGACCCACAGGCATAATGAAAAAACAACCGAGCTTATAAAGCAGGCAAGTAGAAATAAATATTTACTAGAAACTAAAGGCGTCCATGTTTTCAATAGTGTTAGACTCGTGTAAAATAAATCATTTATTAGCAGGAGCGGAAGGAAATGTCTTCTCTCAGAGTCTCAGAATTACTTACCTTGTGTTGAGAATCAGATCCAATGATAAAAACCTTCTTACCTGCTTGGTAGTTTCTCGGATCGTCTATGTTGAGAGTCTGTGATGTGTCCAGAGGCTTGGTCTCAGGCCTAGTCTCAGGCCTGGTCTCAGGCCTAGTCTCAGGCCTGGTCTCAGGTTTGGTCTCTGGTTTGGTCTCAGGCTTGGTCTCAGGTTTGGTCTCTGGTTTGGTCTCAGGCTTGGTCTCAGGTTTGGTCTCAGGTTTGGTCTCAGGTTTGGAGCTGGGTTCAGCCACAGTCGGTTTAGCTGGCAATGGCTTGTATGGCTCAGGTTTATCTTGAGGTTTTGTAGTGGCTTCAGATTGTGTGGGTTCGGTCGGGGTTGGGGTGACATTGAGTGGATCTGCACTGCTTACTTCTGGTGCAACATCATCTATAGTGTCATCCCGCACTGTATCTGCAGTTGTAGGGATGTGGGTCATCAAGGCATCAAGCTCTGACAAGTTCCCAGACCCCGCTGGAGAAACACTGGCGGTAGGATCTTCGAGGTCTCCCAGAGAAGAAGGAGAGCCTGTTGTGACATCTTGTGCGTTGATCTCAGCATCATCCAGTTCGGGATTGGATGGATTAGATGTGGGCACTGATGAGGTGGGGATGGTGGTGACCTGAGAGTTGGCCAGGATTGTGGAGGAGCCTGTGGATACTGAAGTGTCCATAGGTCGGTAGGAGGTTGTGGTTGTAACCTCTGGTTTATCAGAGGAGGCTAGAGTCGGTTTTATAGTCTGTATCTCAGGAACAATGTCATCCTCGGGCTGTACTTCTGCCTTCTCAAGCTCTGGGGTGTTGGCTGTGGGAGAATATTCTGTTTGGGGTACTGAGGTTGCAGCAGGCTGGCTGGAGCTGTTGTCAACTGCTGTTGTGGGCGGAGGGAGAGTTGTTCCTGAGTCAAGTGAGCTCGTAGGATCATCTGGAGGAGGAAAAACATCATATAAACTCTTACATTTACATTTAAATTGAATGTACTCAGGGGTAGTCAGAAGTATGTTCTTTAGAAAATGAATAACAGCATGTACAGATGGTGGCAAAGTAAAGGAAAAACCTGAATAAATGAGTAGATAACATACATGTAACAAATGCAGATGCTTTCATACATTGAATGGTTTGATAAGTGATGGTCCCTCCACACAAAATAAATATTTAAGCATATTATTTGCACAGTGTGACCAGTCATATGCCACTGGATCACATACCTAAGCTCTTAGTGGTGGGGTAAAGGGTGGAGGGGCTGTCATTGGCCTGTGTTGTTTCATCTGGGCGAGTCGTCTCTGTACTGAACTCTGGACCCTGTGTGGGTTCAATATCCATTTGATCCAGCAGGTCAGATCTAGACAATTCATATCCGCTGGTGCCCTCTTGGATTGGAGTTGCCTCCGTGTCCTCCCCTCCATTGTAGGAAACATCATCATTGGGAGAAATCTGGCTGTACATATCTAGAGGAATGTGAGAAGTGAGAAAAGATGTGTGTCACACTCATGAAACTTTACTGGAGGGAAAAAAAATGCTTCACTTCATTTATTATCCATGCACATCGCTGCCCACCATCACTGACAGCATTTTGAGGATATGAGGTTGGACTGACCAGTGGAATTAAATAGTAATTTGTGGGCAAAAAAAGCCAGAATTAAATAATATAAATCAGGGGCGTAGCAATAAGCAAAGCAAGGGAATTCTCCAGGGAGATATTTTTCCCATTTACAGCAGCTATGGGCACTATTTTTCAAGCCATTTACAATAAAAGAATACCTAAATTCTGTACATCATTTGGAAAAAACATGATAGTATACATCCTATATTGTATTTATTTGTTATGTCTTAATCATTCTGAAACCAGAACACAACAAATGTTGAGGATGACTAATATACTTGGCATTGTTTATTAAATGTTCTTAATCAACACTACCTCTTTTCCTGCCTTTGTTTTCTTTATCATGCACTGTGACATTCCAGACAGAAATGTCACAACACGTCTTCCTCCTGAGAGAGAAGTAACAAGGATGCAAGAGTATTTCCACCAACAAAACTATTCCCAGCCATTTACTGAATTAAAGCCTCCAAGAAAATGTTCTGTCATCCTTTCTTGGCTTCATTTGGTACTTTCCTCTCTTGTGACTGAGCCTGTGCCCGTAACCCTCCTACACACTCTTGACAACACTGCTTCCTTGTGTTTCTTTTGGCCAGCGAGGCTTGTGCACTTGGCTTGTTCTGGTGAGACTTGGCACCCAAAGAAAACCACAGCAAGCAGCCACACTGTGGCAGTCAACCATAGACATCTTCCTGCCATCTTCCTGACATATGCCTTATTACATCCACTGAGTTCGGCTCATAATTATCTTTGAAGTATTATAAAAGAAATGACTTAAAGAGTCAGTTTAGAAAGCATTGGTTTCTGTCACTGGAATCAAGTGGCAGTTTAAGATGTGTGTAAAGTTTTGTATAACTTCCTTGAGTACATTTTAAAAAACATATTCACCTGAATCGTCTCCCTCGCTGAATGTAGAAGGCTGCTCTACTGGTTCAGTCAGAACGGGCTCTGTGGAAATATTCATGAATAGAGGTTAGAGTGTAAAAAAACAAATTACCCTTAAATCCTAAATGACTGAAAATGTAAAAAATAAATAAAATCAATCTTTTCGCCAAGTCAGATATAAAGATATACCTTTGGGTTTTTTATCATTTACATTATGGCATGAATTAGTCTTCACTGGTGCTGTAGCACTGGATGCTCCATTGATTTCTTCTGTGGTAATTACCAAGACAGAAAATATTGTCAAATTTGACCCAATGCATCGATGCAGATTACTGCATGCATTGCATGCTACTCCACATGCTGGTGGACATGCATATTTATAACGTCAAAAATAATGCTAACTCCTTTGCACTTCATGCACATGTACTGATCTCAGGTGAGGGCTGACTTGAACTTGCAGCCATGCACTCAAACAACTATCACTGTATTTGCTGGTCATGTAGCAAATGACAGTCACATTTTTAAAAGAAGACCCCAAAGATGTACGAGCACTTTTAAGGATCAGAACAGCAAATATCATGGTGATACTACTGAGTATGAAACTGTGACGTAAACCTGATAACATGCAGAAAATAACGCATACACACACACAATCATGCTGAATTTGTCGGACAAGCCTTACCTTCTGCATCACAGTGGCTTTGGTAATCTGAACAACACTGATTGTACTTTATGCAGTCTGAGTCGCAGCTACACAGCCGACCTCTTTTGAAGTTTTCTCCACACCGTCCTTTACACGAGTTTGCTGTTGCACACAAACACAGCAGACTTAAGCAAAACAGGCCCACTGATTATATTTGATTTATATAATTATTTAGTTTGAAATATTCAGACAATATATAAAAATGTTGCTCTCAGCACTGATGGGGGTTGGCAAAAAAATCAGTGCAGACTTGGAAAATCTGTTATAAACTGACAAAATAATGTTTGACACAAAATGATTAGGTATCAGTTTCTTAGTTTTTCTGTTACTACAGCAGTACTACATAGCAGTTTGAATTAGTTTAAATCTTACATTCTCAAGCACTTTTGCCTACATTTTTCTAAAATCCAATGTATTATTATTATTATTATTATTATTATTATTATTATTATTATTATTAATTTAGTTTGTTTAAAATTTTTATTCTTTTTTAGTCTGACCTTTATCTCTTTTACTCTGCTCTTTTTTATTTTGTCTGTCTTGCTTTTAGCTACTCTGTACAGCACCTTAAATATGTGTATAAAACGTGCTTTATAAATAAAACAGCCTTGCCATAATAGTGACAGACTGATACGTATATCAGGAGAGAAAAGTCTCACCTGTGGTGCACTGGGATTCAAAGTCTCTGCAGCACTCTCCATAAGACAGGCAGGTATAATCACACTGGCACATGTAACCCCTGTAGTACTCGCCACCACATCGTCCTTTACAACTTGCTGTTTATGAGAAAGAGTACACGGAGACAGAAAGAAATGTCAGAGAAAGACATGCTGTACGGATAATATGGCATCTGTGGCTTGCATCTTAAAATGCATTATTTTTATCTCCAACAACAAAGTCTACTTCAGGACATAGTCTGTAAATAATATAACTGTGCCAGGAATTGATTTCTGTACTGGCAAATACAGATACATATGTTACCCCTCTGGTAAATAATTATCAACAGAGTAAACATGAATGAGTACAAGCACAGAAAACACACAATACATTCCAGGAAAGCCATCAAATCCTCTGTCAATCAGAATACATTTCAGTTTCTCTGTTGAATACAAACGTCACATAAATTATACTCACTCTGAGCAGCACTTAATGTGAAGGAACAAGCCAGAAAAATAACAGCACAAAGTACAGCAGAAGACATCTTTCTGTAAATCTGAAAGTAAGCAGACACACAGACAATAAATCCATCACATTCCTCTAGTGCATTCATGTTCATAACTGAGAGATAAAAGAGGAAATAAAAAGTGACCTACGTTATTCGAGCCTCTGTCAGAATCCTGCCTGAAGGTTCGACTCGGCTGCTTTTAAAAGGCTGAAAGAGAGACCGGCTGACTTCCCGTTAATTGACAGATCCGGTCTAATTAAAAGTAGTGATCTCACAGGCTGTAAGGGAGGATCCCCCAGTCCGGCCAGACCATAGGTCTAGACACCATGAGTCCTCACAAACAGCTGGAAGCACATCAACACACTTCTGTGCCAGACAGACGGCTGACTTCACACACCTCTGAGCAGAAGAAGAAAAAAAAAGTGGTTGTGACTTGCTGTTCAGTCATAGATGGGTGAACTGGACACCTTCACATAATCACAGACCTTGGTTTGTCAAATCAATACCAAATGGACGGACAAATAACTCCGCGGAAGCCAAGTAGTTTCTGTAACTTCACAGTCGGCAGGGTGTTTCATAGTTTAGTCTTTAAGACAGATGTTTGTTGTAGGCTACTGTTTCTATGGTTACTTGATATTAGAGTCATATAGCCTTAGTTTATCCCTCTGATGTTTATCATCATGTATCATTGTATGTTATGGTTATACATGATAATACATACAGAAGTAGCAATACCACACTACAAGTAAAAGTCTTGCATACAAAATTTCACTCCTAATGAAAATGGACTTTGAGTATCAAGAGTAAAAGTATTCGTTAGTTAATAATAGTTAGTCAATATTATATTATTGGATTATTATTAAT